CCCCATCCTCCCCGGCCGCTGCTGCCTCGGCGGCGGCAACATCTGCTGGGCTGGAGGAGCCGGGGCGCTTGAGCAGACGCACAGATGTAAAAGTGACATCTGCTTGTGACAAAGGAGCGGGAATTAGATTAGGCGGGGAGGCCTTTCTGCGATTAAAAAAAAAAAAAAAAAAAGCAAAGGAAAAAAAAAAAGAAAATACTATCTGTGGACTGTGTAAGCAGGGGAAGAGGATGTGAAGGGCAGAAATGCTTGTTGGGCAGCTGCTGGGAGAGCCGGGGCAGCACAAGGGTCCTGGGAGCTAAAATAGCCCTAAGAGAAGGCTTTGCTTTTCCCTCCAGAAGCAGAGATGTGGCCGGGTCAAAGCTTTCCTTCATTACCAGCAAAGGACAGCAGGCAGCAGGGCGCCGCTGTGACTCGGACACCGGCAGAGATGCCTTCCTGCAGCTCCTGGCATCGGCTAACCAAAGAGGCCCAGATTTGGACACTTCTTTTCTTTGTTCGCTAATGGAATAAATGTAGGGACGTTCATAAAACCAAAAGCTAGAAGGCCTGGCTGTTGCTTGCCTTATGAACTGTCCTATTTTGGTCCCATCAAAAAAAAAAAAAAACCCAACCAAAAAAAAACCCAACAGCAAAACAAAACAAAAAAAATCCCAAACCAAAAAAACCAACACCACAACACCACAGGCTTAAGTTTGTGGATGTTTAGTAAAGCCAAAACACACAGCAAAGCCGTGCTTGTCTGTTCAGCTGCACCCAGGAGAATCTTTACCTGCATCAACCTATAGTGCTTATCAAGAAAAAACCACCCTACACATTATAAATGATATAGTCTTTACCTTCTGTTTTGTAAACAATGCTTTTCTCAGTTATATAAATACTGATATTGAATATCATGCCTTTTGTTTTTTAAACCCTAGCACTTCCACATCTAGGGATACTTGATGCCCTTTTGCAGAGCAGCACACAGGAGCAATAGTAGGACTGCATCATATTTCCAATTGCAGAAAAATTGTGCTGCATTGCAAAAATAGCAAGTTACAGAGTGTAGCGTGCTGTGCACCGGGGCAAATTTAGTAATAAAGGCCCTCTTATAGGGCCTTGCCTCTAAGCTCAATGAAGTTGGCCAAAACCTACTGAACCTTTTAAAGGCTATGATTTCAGCGGAGTGTAGATTAGGCCCTTAGTGTTGGATCGCCTGCGGGACTGCAGCTTGCCTGTGCAAGCTGATCCTTAACCTAGTTACAAAGCTAGGGAGTGAGAGTGTGACGCCTTTGTCGGTGATGGGGCTGGGAGCGAGAAGATCGGATCACAGAAATTGAGGGGCCCCTCATAAAGTGCACAGAGCCGGATTGGGGAGAGAGAGCATGGTGAAAATTGCCTAAAAGTGAATAAAGGAAATCCTGTT